CCATTTAAAACCACTTTTTAAAACTGTATAAAGGCCTGCAAAAACAAACAAGCAAATTTATTTGTTGCAGAACATTATATTCCTTAAAATTTTGTTCGAAAAAGAACATCGAAATTTTGAAAAAGCACGTGATAATTGCCATACGCTTTGCATCAAAGCAACAATACCTTTTCATGGAAAACAACTCTAATGACATCATTAATCATCCTTCTATGTACCGCTTCATGTGTAGAACGGAAATGGACGAGCGGACGTTTTGCATTTTTTATTAACATCAACAAAAGAGACACAACCATTAATTGCCTCTGCGCGCCGCATGTTGATATCATTTTCAGTCTCGGAGTCGGGTATTAGTTTCTAGCAATGCTATTCAATAATTTAGATATATCAAGTCAGTTTGCGAAAATAATTTACACGTTTTAAAATGCACCACGAACATATTACCATTCAATATACCTGTTTACATGTAGGCCTACTATTACGTGTCTTTGTTTGTGTTTACCCGACTAAACCACAGATATCCCCGGTTCGATGCCCCATGAGTTTGTATTTACAAAGAAATAAACTCAGAAACCTAACCATTTGGACCCAGAGAGGATAGACTCACAGACCCATTGTTTTCACTAATGAGCTGGGCAGTGCTATTGTATAGGATTACCCCGTAACGCCACATGAATGGGCTATTGTGTACACAGAGGCACACAAATGCCTACAGTGAATAGCCATTCGGAACCAGTTGAATATTTTTTTTGTTAGTGATTTGGGAAAAGCTTGGCTAGGCTTGCCTTGTCTTTCTTTATTGCCACTATGTGAAGATTTCCATTTTACCCCTACTTGAGTCATCTGACTATTTTTTTTACATCATCGTGTTTTCACATCGCGTACTTAATTGTATAAACGACGCGGAAATTTACCTACCGTCCGATTGATTCTAGATTTACTCGGGCTTGCTTGAATACAGTCCTTATCAACGGTCATTTTAGATTTGTAAATGAGAATAAGTCTTTCAAGTTTGTACTTCCAAAAAATTATGTGTCCCGAAAGACATTTTAGTCTCCTTATGTAAGTTTCAGTTTTTCCCCAATGACTGCCACAACATTATTTCATAAATTTATATTTGTATACGAGTACTCTGGGTTCCTCTAGTCCACATGTATTTTAGATTTTCGGAAGTGAGAGGTTAATCTTTGGCACAATATTTCTCTTTCACGTCATGTGATTTTTCAGTTTCCATAAATTGAGATGCTGGTTAAAATTGTTCAAAGGCCTTTTTCCGAGGATGATTTTCTTTAGAAATCAATGTACCAAAAATAATTGAAAACACCGACTTTTACATGCTATTTTTTGTCCTATTCGAGGTGTCCGGAAGCGCGCCACCGACTTTCAGGCGCAATCGCGAAAAAAAAAAACCTGCGGCCGATTTAAGGAAGTGTTCACCTTGACTTCAGGAGGTCGACTTGGCGAGAAAATAAATCTCTACAAATCGTCATCTTCACTTCGGGAAGTCGACTTGACGAGATAAAATATCTCGACAAGTCATGTAAGTCGGTGGGATAATTTATGTGATTAAGTCGCCTTACTTTCAATGATATGTCAACATGACGTGATAAATTATCTCAATATCTAAATAAGTGGATGCACTCATGGGCCGTATTCACAAAACTCAAACTTAAGAGATAACTTAAGCCAGACTTAAATCTTAGCACCCTACTAACTTAAGTGGGTCGCTTAATATGGTATTCACGAAAGATCTAAGCACCCCAATTATATTAGTGCTCAACTTAATTTAAGTGTTCAAAACAGTCACTCTTGCTCAATGCACAAAATATGTACGTCATAAACGTTCCTACGCAGCAGCAGTTCAATCAATAATGTGCGTGCTTCCTTAACATAATCATGCGTGCGCGTATTCTGCGACGCAGTTTCCAAGCTCAATTTAATACACAAAAACTTATCTGCGTCACGTGCGCGTCCACCTAGTTCGTCATGCACATCGTATGCTCTCAGTGCATGTAGTTATTTACCATAGTTTTTACGGTCGTTTGAACAACTAAACTACAAGTGAATTGTTCATTTTATTTACTATCGAGTATGAAACAAATTGTCATGATGATTTATGTCATACGCGCTGGAAGGTAAGACAGTTAATTTTAATTAATAGCCTTTCGGCAGTCACGTGGTAGGACTGTGCATGCCATTACATTGGTTTCGTCAATCGTACCCGTGCCGCCCGCATAAAAATCAACAAATCGTTCGAAAATGACTGTCAGAATGTCGACGAACTACAATCTTAGGGTTGTCACACATTAATTTCAACTTGGCTTTCCTTTTTTAATACAATCATTCGTTATTGACGATATTTCCCTCTACCCCTAGAAAGTCCAATTTTGTGCCTAAAAATACCAACCAACGGAAAGGAATAAAGCCGCCATGACACCCTAGTGCCCCACTTAACTTGACTTAAGACAGGTCCGACCACACTTAGATTTAAGTCATGAAAATAAGTGGGGCGCTTAGTGAAAATGCTTTGTGAATACTGCTTAAATTGTAAAACTAGTCTAAGTAGCATATTTAAGTGGGGTGCTTGCTTTTTTATGACTTAAGTCGTTTTGTGAATACGGCCCATGGAGCGCCGTAACCATTACAATTTGGGAGCTATCTATAATTATATTTGGGAACCAAATTTCAACCGGTAATAATTTGTGTGTGATTGTTTGCCAATAGTATATATTAGGCCGATTTAAAAAAAATAGTTTCTCGTTCGGGCTTTTTGGGGAAAACATATAGGAGGTTGGCGGATGCAACATGGCGGATGGATTTTTTCCATTTTCTTGACTTTTTTGCTGATAGTGTCCAATTAGCCGTAACCCTTTCTAACTTTCTACAATTTTGTTGAAAACAAATAGAAAGACAATAGGATTGACAGTTTATGTGCAATATACATTGCAAATGTATGAATTTGAAAGGGGGCGGGCCGAAAAAAAAGAAGCGGGTGGGGACGAGAAACTGGTACATTTCTTTTGTACTTGTCATTAAATACTAGAATTAAGTTTCAAATCTTTACGACCCCAACATTTTCTGACACGTTTCAGGGGCGGATCTAGCTTTCAGGAAACGCATGGAGACGGGGGGGGGTGATATTTCAGTGAAGGCGTGCACCTGCTATAGGGGATCGAGGGACGTACCCCCTCCCCCAAGGCAATGTGAGAATAAAGTTAGGAACTTTGAGTCAATTTCAGTAGTATATCATAAACAAAAATCATCGGCTGAACGGGGGGGGGGGGGGCAGCAACACCCCAAACATACCCCCCCCCCCCAGATCCGCTACTCAGTGAATTTTCATCTGTGCAATTTCCTTAAAATTATCATCCAGAAAATCTTTGTACTGTCGACGTCGTTACCATTATGAGTCAGTAAATTCATACGACGTGCAGCGAATTTTAACAAGTTTTTGATGGACTTCTGCAGCCTTGGTGATCAATGATGCATGATATTTGAGTGGGGGCGTGGCCCTGCTATAGGGTCCGGGGCATGCCGCGCCCCCTCCCCCGTTGTAAAGCAATTTGAGAATAAATTTAGGAAATTAGAGGCACATTTTATTGTTTTTTTGCCCCATTCTTAGTACTATACATTAAACAAACAAACCAGCGGCCGAACAAGGGGCCCAACGGGGGGGGGGGGGGGAGGTGATCTGTACAATTACCTGGCTTTTTATTCTCTCACAAAGTCACTGTACTGTCGACGTCGTTACCAATGCACCAGTATGTATTTGTATCGCCATTTAAGCTGTTTCAGATGAGTTAGTAAATACATACGACGTGCAGCGAATTCTAACGAGTTTTTGATGGATTTCTGCAGCCTCGGTTATCAATGATGCATGTAGGCTGAGGCTCATTAAGCACCGTTGAAGCTTCTTTTTTTTTTAACAATGCAGCCCACTGTAACTGTTGTTTTATTTGTTTCTCTGATTGTCTATCTTATTATCTTTTTACAATTAGTCCTCGGCCCAATGGTTTTTCTTTATCTTAGGTTCATTCTCCCGGCCTGGTGGTGAAAACACAATGTGAGGTCTACTCCCAAAGAGGGGCGTGTCCGTGGTCGAAGAAAAAGAAATGCAATCATGTGCTTGCATGTAATTAATTTGTTTTTACTTGTGCACGATTTGAAACAAGGGGGTTGTCCCATGTCCCTATACCCTGTACACATAACTGTTATCCCTAGATATCTCAAAAGAATTCCTGAGATTTCGGGAACACAAAGATCAACACAAAAGAGGGGGTCTCCTCTATTGCTTCAAATTAATAAAAGGTCATGTTGGAAATGCCCACGCGGTGTGTTTATGTTAGGGTATACAACATGTTTTCAACCAATGGATTTTTCCACATGCGATTAGCACGGTAGCAACATGATCTCAATTTAATGTATAATTTTAAAAATAAGTCATAAAATTGACTGTCAATCACTTTTTATACAAAAGATGAGAAATTTAAAACACACTCCTCTTTCCCATCGCACAGTGAAAAACTGCCATTTATAAATAATTTAGTGTGCAGTGATGATGTCATTAGTCACGGTTAATTGGAGGGTCTAATGTCGGTGAAAACAATGGCACCGTTCTACGTGCCCATTGTATTCTGTAATTAATTTCCCTCTTGGCCATCAGTGGCTTGCGACGACAATTATCTCAATGACAATTATCTCAGGCCCCATTGTTATAATTAGTAGAATTTCACCGCTGGACCCAACATTTTGGCGCACTCCGTCATTGCAGGCCATTATTTTTTGCAGTCAGGCGAGGGACTCTTTTTCTGACACACGTCACGTCTGTGGTCGACACACACGGGCTGAAATACTCTGAATCTGCAACGAAACGTACTTTGCTTGAAGCAAAAAAAACGGCCCTTGTACTTTTCTGATTCTTTGTGAAAGTGCTACTTTTATCACATTTGCTTTAGGGAGATCGTGAGCATATTGTCTGTACAGCTTTCCTGTCTTCGAGTATGGCGTGGTTCACCGCAAGCTCTGCTCAGATGCTTGTCTCGATCATCATAAGTTTACTATTACTAAAGTGCCAGGCCCTCTACGCCTCCTGCCCGCCTGGCTGGCTGAAATGGCAGCAATCTTGCTACATCCGACTCCCTAACAGGATGAATTGGTTTGAGGCATCGGAGGCTTGCAACCGGCCGGGAAGCAGCCTCTTCGTACCAAACTCGCGGGAAGAAAACGACGCCATCTGGCAGTCACTTGGGATACAGACTGGCGGTATGTGGATCGGCTGTACGGATGCGGCCCAAGAGGGTATCTGGCTGTGCGGAGGTCAACCTCTGTCTTTTCCAAATTGGAATCCTGGCAATCCGCACACCGACAACCAGCGTAACTGCGCCCGAATGACTGTGAACCGTGGCGGGGGCTCGTGGTCTGACAGCGTTCCTTGCGGTAGCAGAAACCGCAAACATGCAGCCTGTGAGATGACGGTCTCTGCGATGCCAGCCTACCACATCTTCACTGGTCCTGATGGGCGTGTCTCCCAACGATGCCTCCTCAATCACGACATCAAGAAACTGGCGGCAGAGGGCTTGCTTGCCTGCGGCTGGGCGTGCCGGGCCGATCCCCGATGCCGCTCCTTTAATCTCTGGCAGATCAGCAAGAGAGAAAAGATGTGTCAACTTAATGACGTCACTCGTTTTGGGGCTGATTGCAACGACTTCAAAGCAATCGACAAATGCTATTACTTTGACCTGTAAAATAGGGAGATTTGAGCAGCTTCGACCGTGTTGTCGCATTGCTGGGGACAAAAATTGACATACAAGAACAATTGGCAGAATGACCGCTACTTTCACTAAATTTAAATATAGTATGTAAATATGTTATTTCAAATAACAGATCCAGAGTCGAATTTGTTAGAGTTACTGGTTAGAAAAGAAATAGCGGGTGAGTCAAACCAGTTTAGCAGATGAGAACCATGCAGCAAGAAGTATATCAGTCATTTGAATTTTTTTGGCTGGTATTCGTCAAGTTACACTGTAAAAACGTGGGGCAAAAATGGGTTGATATCATGAGACCACTGTTGGTCAACATATCGGTTAAACGCTTGGAAAAATTCTTCACAATAGTTGGAAAAATTTTACCCAAAGTAACCCACAATGAGGTTATTTTAAACCAATGTTGGGTAAATTTACTTTGCTCAACAGTGTTTGACCCAACATTTTTTACAGTGTGAAGTAAATTTGACCTTTGCAGTGATCTTAAGCAACTGGCATCTGGTTTTGTTCACCCGTCGTTAACTTGAAGTATATGATTTATAGAAGTGTACATGGGCGTCGCCGGGGGCACTTAGCCCACCCCCCCCCCCCCCCCTATGAAAAAGGGGGGAACGAGAAAGGAAAAGAGGTGTGAAGTCATATTTGCTATTAATTTAATACACATTTAACAAAATGGGCGTCTGTATCAGGGTTGTCAATGGGGGTGGGTGGGCAAATGCCGCCCCCCCCCCGAAAAAAAAATTTAATTGAGAATATGCTAGAGAAAGTACAAGGATTTGGGGGAAAGTGCTTTGCGCCCCTCCCCCCCCCCCCCCCCCCCCCGTAAAATCCTGGAGACGCCCATGGAAATGTACATATTTAACTTGTTTATTTTAATCATGCACGGTTGAAATTGTACATATTGAAAGCTTAGCAAAATGTGAACAATGCAGCAAGAAGTAACATAGATCATTTAAAAAAAATTAGCTAGTGTTCGTTGTTTCAAGTTGAAGCATTTTGATTTTTGCAGATATCTTAAGAAACTGACATCTGGCTTTGTTCATTCGTCGTTTACTCGAACTTATATGATGTATTGAAATGTAAATGTTTAACTTGCTTATTTTGATCATGTACGCTTAAAATTGTAGATATTGAGAGTTTAGCGGATGAGAACCATGGAGCAAGAAGTAACATAGATCATTTGATTTTTTTTTGCCGGTATTCGTTGTTTAAAGTTAAAGCAAATGTTACCTTTGCTGAGATCTTAAGCAACTGGCATCTGGTTTTGTTCATCGTAACATCGTTGGCGCAATGTTTATTTTGGTCATGTAGCCTACGGTTAAAATTGGGTGCATGGGTGTAAATGCGGGTGGTGTGGGTAAATGTCACGATCCCCCGCCCATTCTCGAAAAAAAATCATAAATTAAGAATGTTCAAGAGAAAGTACAACGATATGGAGGGGGAAATGTGTTATGCCCCCCCCCCCTGTAAAATCATGGCGACGCCCATGAAAATGTACATCTATAACTTGTTTATTTTGATCATGTACGGTTGAAATTGTAGAGATTGAGAGTTTAGCAGATGAGAACCATGTAGCAAGAAGTAACATAAATCATTTGACTTTTTTTCGCTACAGTGTTGTTGTTTGAAGTTAGAGCAAATTTTACCTTTGCAGAGATCTTAAGAAACTGGTTTTGTTCATTCGTCGTTTACTCGAACTTAAATGATGTATAGAAATGTAAATGTTTTACTTGTTTATCTCGGTCATGTACTACGGTTACAATTGTACATATTGAGAGTTTAGCAGTTGAGAACCATACAGCAAGAAGTAACATAGATCATTTGGAAGTTTAGCTAGTATTCGTTGTTTAAACTTTCAGTACATTTTACCTTTCGTAGAGATCTTAAGAAACTGACATCTGCTTTTGTTCATCCGTCGTTAACTCAAAGTATTATGATTATAGAAATATACATGTTTAACTTGTTTATTTTGATCATGTACGGTTAAAATTGTAGATATTGAGAGTTTAGCAGATGAGAACCATGCAGCAAGAAGTAACATACATCATTTTAAAATTTTCAGCTATTGTTGGTTGTTTAAATTTAAAGTAAATTTAACCTTAAGTTTGCCAAGTTCTTAAGAAACTGACATCTGGTTTTGTTTATTCGTCGTTTACTCGAAGTACATGATGTATTGAAAAGTACATGCTTAACTTGGGTATTTTGATCATGTTCGGTTGAAATTGTAGATATTGAAAGTTTAGCAGATGAGAGCCATGCAGCAAGAAGTAACATACATCATTTGAATTTTTTTGCCAGTGTTGTTGTTTAAAATTAGAGTAAATTTTACCTTTGCAGAGATCTTAAGAAACTGACATCTGGTTTTGTTCATCGTAACATCGTTTACTTGAATTATTATGATTTATGGAAATGTACACGTTTGAAGGCATGTTTATTTTGATCATGTACGGTTGAAATTGTAGATATTGAGAGAGTTTAGCAGATGAGAACCATGCAGCAAAACATACATCATTTGATTGTTTTTAGCTGGTATTCGTTGTTTAAAATTAAAGCAAATTTTACCTTTGCTGAGATCTTAAGAAACTGGAATCTGGTTTTGTTCATCGTAATATCATTTACTTGAAGTATTATGATTATAGAAATGTACAAATATAACTTGTTTATTGATCATGTACGGTTGAAATTGTAGATATTGAGAGCGTTTAGCAGATGAGAACCATGCAGTAAGATGTAATATACATCATTTGAATTTTTTGAGCTGCTATTCACTATTAACATGTAAAAGTAAAGCAGATTTTATCCTTGCCAAGATCTTAAGAAACTGGCACCTGGTTTTGTTCATCGTAATATCGTTTACTTGAAGTGTCATTTATTAAAATATTGTAACGTGTTTATTGTGACCATGTGCAGTTGAAATTGTAGACATTGAGAGAATGAAAAAAATGTGTTTATCATAAAGGTAATGGACACTATTTGCAAACATTCTCAAATGAAACTGTCAAAATATCATTTTCGAAAAAAGAGGAATGATGTTTTCCTCGCGATGGTCAGGACCAAACCATCGCGCTCTCAACGGACACCGGCTTTCGCGTCGAGAAAAAATAAAGATGCATTTTCACAGTTTGCTAAAAAACGTATATCTACTGAGCTGAAATTTGGACAGGTTCCTTTATAGTTTTTAATGACCTGCTTCAGATTTACTGAATTCTTGTTCCTTGAATCGGTAAGAACACATTTAGTTTTTATTTTTCTTCAAATCTTGGTGTCCATTATCTCAATACCACTTCTGGCTGGTTTCTTATTACATTTATTGGAATTCATGCATTTATTAAAATTTGTGCCATCAAAGACAGTGCAAGTTTTATCCAAAGTATTTATTTCTGTGTGACCCGAATTTCAGAAAAATTGTGTCCAAAGAAGCCGTATAACCTTTTACAACTACACTTTTGCTGAAAACAAATAGAAAGACTTTATATGATTGACGATATATATGTGCAATATACACTGCAAAAGTACAAATTTAAGAAAACCGGGGGGGGGGGGGAAGTGAGGCAAGCAGGGACGAGAAACTGGTGTATTGCTTGTACTTGTCCTTAAAATTCTAGGATTAAGTTGTAAATGTTTACGACGCCAACATTTGGCACGTTCAGGAGTGGATCTAGCTTTCAGGAAATGAATAGAGACGGAGGGGGGATATTTAAATGAAGGCGTGCCCCAGCTTTAGGGGGTCGAGGGTCACGCCCCCTCCCCCAGTCTAAGGCTATTGGAGAATGAATTTAGGAACTTTTAGTCATTTTTTATTTTTGGCCCCATTTAGTAGTATCATAAAAAACAATTCAGCGGCTGAACGGGGGGTGGGCGGAGGTGCAACACCCCTTCGCCGCCCATCCCCTAGATCCACTACTGAATTTTATTTGTTCAATTACATGTACCTACAAAAAATTATCCAGAAAGTCATTGTACTATCCACGTCGTCACCATTATTTGAGCCAGTCAATTCATACGACGTGCAGCGAATTCTAACGAGTTTTGGATTGATTTCTGCAGCCTTGGTTATCAATGATGCATGTAGGCTGAGGCTCAGCAAGCACCGTTGAAACTTTTTTTAACAACGCAGCCCCAATTTAACTGTTTATTTTGTGTATGTTTTTCTGATTGTCTATCTTATTAGTTTTTTTATAATTAGTCCTCAGCCCAATGTTTTTTCTTAATTAAAACATTATCTTATGCTCACTCTACCGGCCTGGTGGTACAATGAGGTCTACTCCCAAAGAGGGGCGTATCTATGGTAGCGGCGTAGCCACGGGGGGCCACTGAAAATTTGGCATCCGGAGAAAAGCACAGCCATATGAGTACCATGATTAGCTGGAAGAATATAAAGTCCCCTTTTTCCGCGATTTTATGTGTATTCTTTACCCCCCCAAAAAAAAAAAAACACCTGCAAGTGGCTTTTCAGAACCACACATACTCACAAAAGAGATTTATTCACATGGTGCTACCGCAAACTTATCTTGTCTTGATATGATATATACGTTTTGAACAGCGCCCCCATTGGAATATGGTGTCCACATGTATCGCCCTGAAAAGCACCATATTGTGCCCTTTGTGTGCATAATTGTCGGTTTTGAACAGCGCCCCAATCGACAGATGGTACCAGCCATTTTTCCAGATGCTACATGATCTCAGTTTAATGCATAATTTTAAAAATAAGTCATAAAATTGACAGTCAATCACTTTTTAGACAAAAGATGAGAAAGATAAAACACGATCCTCTTTATCATCGCAAATTGAAAAATTGCCATTTATGAATAATTTAGTGTAGGGCCTATGGTTAATTGGAGGGCCTAATGTCAGTGAAAGCGATGACACCGTCCTACGTGCCCATTGTATTCTGTAATTAATTTCCCTCTTGGCCATCAGTGGCTTGCGGCGACAATTATCTCAATGACAATTATCTCATGCCCCATTGTTATAATTAGTAGAATTTCACCGGTGGACCCAACATTTTGGCGCACTCCGTCATTGCAGGCCATTAATTTTTGCAGTCAGGCGAGGGACTCTTTTTCTGACACACGTCACGTCTGTGGTCGACACACACGGGCTGAAATACTCTGAATCTGCAACGAAACGTACTTTACTTGAAGCAAAAAAAAAACCGGCCCTTGTACTTTTCTGATTCTTTGTGAAAGTGCTACTTTTGTCACATTTGCTTTGGGAAGATCGAGAGCATATTGTCTGTACAGCATTCCTGTCTTCAAGTATGGCGTGGTTCACAGCAAGCTCTACTCAGATCCTTGTCTCGATCATCATCAATTTACCTAGCTGCCAGGCCCTCTACGCCTCCTGCCCGCCTGGCTGGCTGAAATGGCAGCAATCTTGCTACATCTTACTGCCGGACAAGATGAATTGGTTTGAGGCCTCGGAGGCTTGTAACCGGCCGGGAAGCAGTCTGGCCGTGCCCAACTCGCGGGAAGAAAACGACTTCATCTGGAAGTCAGTGAGGCCACAGACTAGCGGTATGTGGATAGGCTGTACGGATGCGGCCCAAGAGGGTATCTGGCTGTGCGGAGGTCAACCTCTGTCTTTTCCAAATTGGAATCCTGGCAATCCGCACACCGACAACCAGCGTAACTGCGCCCGAATGACTGTGAACCGTGGCGGGGGCTCGTGGTCTGACAGCGTTCCTTGCGGTAGCAGAAACCGCAAACATGCAGCCTGTGAGATGACGGTCTCTGCGATGCCAGCCTACCACATCTTCACTGGTCCTGATGGGCGTGTCTCCCAACGTCAACCTATGACTTTTCCAAATTGGAATCCTGGCAATCCGCACACCGACAACCAGCTTAACTGCGCCAGGATGACGACACACTTTGGCGGGGGCCTGTGGTCCGACGATGTTCCTTGCGGTAGCAGCAAGCGCAAACATGCAGCCTGTGAGATGACGGTCTCTGCGATGCCAGTCTACCACACCTACACCGGTCCCGATGGGCGTGTCTCCCAGCGATGCCTCCTCAATCACGACATCAAGAAACTGGCGGCAGAGGGCTTGCTTGCCTGCGGCTGGGCGTGTCGGGCCGATCCCCGATGCCGCTCCTTTAATCTCTGGCAGATCAGCAAGAGAGAAAAGATGTGTCAACTCAATGACGTCACTCGTTTTGGGGCTGATTGCAACGACTTCAAAGCAATCGACAAATGCTATTACTTTGACTTGTAAAATAGGGAGATTTGAGCAGCTTCGACCGTGTTGTGGCATTGCTGGGGGAAAAAAAATTGACATACAAGAACAATTGGCAGAATGACCGCTACTTTCACTGAATGTAAATATAGTATGTAAATATGTTATTTCAAATAACAGATCCAGAGTCGAATTTGTTAGAGTTACTGGTTAGAAAAGAAAGAGCGGGTGAGTCAAACCAGTTTAGCAGATGAGAACCATGCAGCAAGAAGTACATCAGTCATTTGAATTTTTTTAGCTGGTATTCCTCAAATTACACTGTTAAAAAGTTGGGCAAAAATGGGTTGATATCAATGAGACCAGTGTTGGTCAACATATCGGTTAAACTCTTGGAAAAATTCTTCCCAATAGTTGGAAAAATTTTACCCAAAGTAACCCACAATGAGGTTATTTTAAACCAATGTTGGGTAAATTACATTGCCCAGCAGTGTTTGACCCATAACATTGTTTACAGTGTGAAGCAAATTTTACGTTTGCAGTGATCTTAAGCAACTGGCATCTGGTTTTGTTCACCCGTCGTTAACTTGAAGGATATGATTTATAGAAATGTACATGGGCGTCGCTGGGATGGAATTCGGGGCGCTTAGCCCCCCCCCCCCCCCCTTCAAGAAAAAGGGGGATCAAGAAAGGACAAGAGCTGTAAAGTCATATTTGCTATTAATATAGTACACATAACAAAATGGGCGTCTGCAGGGGTGTAAATGGGGGTGGTGTGGGTAAATGTCACGGTCCCCCGCCCATCCTCGAAAAAAAATCATAAATTAAGAATGTTCAAGATAAAGTACAAGGATTTGGAAGGGGAAATGTGTTATGCCCCCCCCCCCCCGTAAAATCATGGCGACGCCCATTAAAATGTACATGTATAACTTGTTTATTTTATCATGTTCGGTTGAAATTGTAGAGATTGAGAGTTTAGCAGATGAGAACCATGCAGCAAGAAGTTACATAATTCATTTGATTTTTCGCTAGTGTTGTTGTTTGAAGTTAGAGCAAATTTTACCTTTGGAGAGATCTTAAGAAACTGGTTTTGTTCATTCGTCGTTTACTTGAACTTATATGATGTATTGAAATGTACATGTTTAACTTGTTTATCTCGGTCATGTACGGTTCAAATTGTACATATTGAGAGATTAGCAGTTGAGAATCATACAGCAAGAAGTAACATAGATCATTTGAATTTTTAGCTAGTATTCGTTATTTAACTTTCGCACATTTTACCTTTTTAGATCTTAAGAAACTGACATCTGATTTTGTTCATCCGTCGTTAACTTGAAGTATTATGATTATAGAAATATACATGTTTAACTTGTTTATTTTGATCATGTACGAAATTGTAGATATTGAAAGTTTAGCAGATGCGAACCATGCAACAAGAAGTAACATAGATCACTTGATGTTTTTTTAGCCGGTATTCGTTGTTTAAAATTAAAGCAAATGTTACCTCTGCTGAGATCTTAAGCAACTGGCATCTTGTTTTGTTCATCATAACATCGTTTACTTGAAGTATTATGATTATAGAAAAATATGTTTAATTTGTTTATTTTGGTCATGTACGGTTAAAATTGTAGATATTAAGAGTTAGCAGATGAGGACCATGCAGCAAGAAGTAACATACATCATTTAAAAAAATTTAGCTAGTGTTGGTTGTTTAAAATTAAAGTAAATTTTACCTTTTGCCAAGTTCTTAAGAAACTGACATCTGGTTTTGTTCATTCGTCGTTTACTCGAAGTACATGATGTATTGAAATGTACATGCTTAACTTGTGTATTTTGATCATGTTCGGTTGAAATTGTATATATGGAAAGTTTAGCAGATGAGAGCCATGCAGCAAGAAGTAACATAGATCATTTGAATTTTTTTTGCTAGTGTTGTTGTTTAAAATTAGAGTAAATTTTACCTTTGCAGAGATCTTAAGCAACTGACATCTGGTTTTGTTCATCGTAACATCGTTTACTTGAATTATAATGATTTATGGAAGTGTACACGTTTGACGGCATGTTTATTTTGATCATGTACGGTTGAAATTGTAGATATTGAGAGCGTTTAGCAGATGAGAACCATGCAGCAAGAAGTAACATACATCATTTGAATGTTTTTAGCTGGTATTCGTTGTTTAAAATTAGAGCAAGTTTTATCTTTGCCGAGATCTTAAGAAACTGGAATCTGGTTTTGTTCATCGTAATATCGTTTACTTGAAGTATTATGATTATAGAAATGTACATATATAACTTGTTTATTGATCATGTATGCGGTTGAAATTGTAGATATTGGGAGTTTAACAGATGAGAACCATGCAGCAAGAAGTAACATAGATCATTTGAAATTGGCATCTGCATTGTAACATCGTTTGCTTGAAATATTATGATTATAGAAATGTACATGTTTAACTTGTTTATTTTGATCATGTACGGTTGAAATTGTAGAGATTGAGAGTTTAGCAAATGAGAACTATGCAGCAAGAAGTTACATAAATCATTTGATTTTTCGCTAGTTTTGTTGTTTGAAGTTAGAGCAAATTTTACCTTTGCAGAGATTACTCGAACTTATATGATGTATTGAAATGTACATGTTTAACCTGTTTATCTCGGTCATGTACGGTTAAAATTGTACATATTGAGAGTTTAGCAGTTGAGAACCATACAGCAAGAAGAAACATAGATCATTTGAAATTTTAGCTAGTATTCGTTGTTTAAACTTTAAGCACATTTTACGTTTTGTAGAGATCTTAAGAAACTGACATCTGATTTTGTTCATCCGACGTTAACTCGAAGTATTATGATTATAGAAATATTCACGTTATCTTTGCTGAGATCTTAAGCAACTGGCATCTGGTTTTGTTCATCGTAACATCGTTTACTTGAAGTATTATGATTATAGAAAAATATGTTTAATTTGTTTGTTTTGGTCATGTACGGTTAAAATTGTAGATATTAGGAGTTAGCAGATGAGGACCATGCAGCAAGAAGTAACATACATCATTTAAATTATTTTAGCTAGTGTTGGTTGTTTAAAATTAAAGTAAATTTTACCTTTTGCCAAGTTCTTAAGAAACTGACATCTGGTTTTGTTCATTCGTCGTTTACTCGAAGTACATGATGTATTGAAATGTACATGCTTAACTTGTGTATTTTGATCATGTTCGGTTGAAATTGTATATATGGAAAGTTTAGCAGATGAGAGCCATGCAGCAAGAAGTAACATAGATCATTTGAATTTTTTTAGCTAGTGTTGTTGTTTAAAATTAGAGTAAATTTTACCTTTGCAGAGATCTTAAGAAACTGGCATCTGGTTTTGTTCATCGTAACATCGTTTACTCGAAGTATTATGATTTATGGAAATGTACATGTTTGACATGTTTTTTTTTTATCATGTACGGTTGAAATTGTAGATATTGAGAGAGTTTAGCAGATGAGAACCATGCAGCAAGAAGTAACATCATTTGATTGTTTTTAGCTGGTATTCGTTGTTTAACATTAGAGCAAGTTTTATCTTTGCCGTCGTTTACTCGATGATGTATTGAAATGTACATATAACTTGTTTATTGATCATGTACGGTTGAAATTGTAGAGATTGAGAGTTTAGGAGATGAGAACCATGCAGCAAGAAGTAACATATATCATTTGATTTTTTTAGCCAGTATAGTGTTCGTTGTTTAAACGTAAAGCACATTTTACCTTTGCCAAGATCTTAAGAAACTGGCATCTGGTTTTGTTAATCGTTATATCGTTACTTGAAGTATGATTTATTGAAATATTTTGACACGTTTATTGTGACCATGTGTGGTTGAAATTGTAGATATTAAGAGATGAAAAAAAATGTGTTTATATTAACGGTAATGGATACCATTTGCAAGCATTCTCAAATGAAACTGTCGAAAATGTCATTTTCGAAAAAGAGGAATGATGTTTTCCTCGCCATGGTTAGGACCAAACCATCACGCTCTCAACGAAAACCAGCTTTAGGCGTCGAGACAAAATAAAGATTCATGTTCACAATTTGCTAAAATTGTATATCTACTGAGCTGAAATGTGGACACTCCCAGGTTTCTTAGTTTGTAATGACCTGCTTCAGATTTACTGTATTCTTGTTCCTTGAATCGGTAAGAACACAATTAATTTTAGTTTTCTTCAAATCTTGGTGTCCATTACCTCAATACCACTTCTGGTTGGTTTCATATTTAATTTATTGGAATTCAGTCATTTATTAAAATTTGTGTCATCAAAGACAGTGCAACGTTTATCCAATAGATTTATTTTCTGTGATCCAAATTTCTTACAATAATGTGTCTAAAGGAGCCATATAACCCTTTAAAATTACAATTTTTGCTGACAACAAATAAAAAAAACAATAGGATTGATGATATATATGTGCAATATACATTTCAAATGTATGATTTTAAGAAAAACGGGGGGGGGCGGAAAAAATGAGGCGAGCAGGGACGAGAAACTGGTTTATTTCTTGTACTCGTCCTTAAATTCTAGGATTAAGTTTCTAATGTTTACGACGCCAACATTTTCGGACACGTTTCGGGAGCGGATCTAGCTTCAGGAAACGCATGGAGACGGGGGGGGGGGGGGTGATTGAGTGAAGGCGTGCCCCTGCTATAAGGGGTCGAGGGGCACGCCCCCTCCCCCAGTCTAAGGCTATCGGAGAATACATTTAGGAACTTTGAGTCAATTTTTATTTTGGCCCCATTTAAGTCGTATCAAAAAAAAATCAGCGGCTGAACGGGGGGGGTGCAGGTGCAACACCCCTACGCCGCCCCCTCCCCCTCCCCGTAGATCCTCTACTGAATTGTATCTGTACAATTACATGTACCTACAAATAGTTATCCAGAAAGTCATTGTACTGTCGACGTTGTCACCATTATTTGAGTCAGTAAAGTCATACGTCGTGCAGCGAATTCTAACGAGTTTTGGATTGATTTCTGCAGTCTCGGTTAATCAATGATGCATGTAGGCTGAGGCTCAGCAAGCACCGTAGAAGCTTTTTTTAACCCACTGTAAACTGTTGTTTTGTGTGTTTCTCTTATTGTCTATCTTATTATCTTTGTAGTCCT